GTTGTCTGAACTGATTCTTATCAAGCCCTGCCATAACAGAACATATTGTCCAATATGTGCATTATGATTCCACAGCATTCCTGATATAAACAACATATTATTCACCATCCACCGTTCAGAGGTCCAAACTCTGATGTAATTCTGTTAATGTTTTAGGGCATGTACCAAACCTGTTGTGCAATAAACCATAGTCAAGTTATTTAATTTGACGTAAAATGAGCAAATAAAAACAAGGCTGTGAGGGATAGAAACACCATATAATCTCACAAATGGATGGGAGTTTGTGTGGTGGTCTTTATACAGGTCCATACACATATTCTCAGTGGTAACCTTTTTGTGAGTCATTCTTTGATGGAATACAAGTGTCCAAGGATGACGAAACTCATATGTCATAGAATCCTTGTGGCATTTCCAGAGCCTCTTTTTCTGACGCAACTAAATGTCAAAAGGGGAGTGTGATGAAGAGTTTAATCACAAAAAGCACTACGTACACAGACATGATCTCTGAAATGACCTGGTTTACTACCTGACACTTAGGTTAAACAAAGCAGACTGAAAAATCAAACACATTGCATAAACTTACAATGGCCCCAAAATTTATTTGGAGGATATGTGACGCATGCATTAAATATCAAATTATCAAACAAAATGACATTTAGTTTCAAGAAATACTATCACAATCACACTGATTACATTTCAAATAATAATAAACCAAACTGGAAAACCGGATTTGGGCACTTTCTGGACATGTCAAATGTTATGAGCTACACCTGTGAACTTGAACTCAAAATGTACATAATTTAAAGTGTGCCTTGAAATATGTATCTACATTTTTAGTATACAGCAATTTGAAGTTCTAATGCCATCCATATAGTCACAAATGTTACAAGAAAGCACTACAGTGAAGGAAAAATCATCTGGAATGCATTTGTAATTGTAAACGTACATGCATGGTCACAAATGTCAATCTTTTGACCTCATTAACAAAGTTCACTTGAAAGCAATCTGTAATCACATAGCAACACATTAGAATCCTCAGTAATATCTAATATGAATCAAGTTGGAAATGAAAATGCAGATTGAAACTTGAAGCACCTAAGGCCCATGTGTGACTGTTAGGGTGGAGGGAGATCAAGAGTACAGATGATGATGAAAAGAAACTTAGTGTGACATCTGGGTAGAGGATTGCATCATGTGAAGAGGACAGACAGGCAGGTGGAGGCACAAGCGTGTGTGAGTCAGTGAGCTGTCAGCCATGACATCCTGCACCTGTAGGTCTTGTGGTTGTGTGAGGCTGCATTAATGTTGAGGCTTGTAAAGAAACTGCCGTTAAAATGTCGTAGGAATCTTGTGCCTCTAGAAATATTCCTCTGCATACCAAACCCCTTAAAGCATGTAGTAAAAAAGTGACAGCATGATGCATCAAGTTAAGGCCTGAAAAGCCCTGAACAATTTTTAAAATGTCAAATTGAGAAAGATATACTTTGTCATTGAATATAATGTATGATATCACACTAGTATGCTTAATAGGAGCTTGAGAGGAATACAATATAAAGCTTTTTAGACAAGGGATGACCCCCATCCTTAACCTTGTCAGATGCAAAATATGACAAACAGATGAGTCTTGAGTAAAGTAGTGGCAAAAAAGTGAAAACTCCAGACAATCATGAAAAACAATGACAAAGCACACAAATGGCTTTTATTAGTCGTTTGTTAAAGGTGACCTGATTTGGGACCCATGGACTCAATGCTATTTAACAACTTTTTGAAAAGACAAAAACGATGCTAGCAAACAATGCTACTGGCATGACATTTAAATACTACTGACAAACCAGCACAAAATTAAATGAAACATGATGAAGCACAAATATGTTCTTTGTTGAAATGATCTAGTCAGAACAACCACTTTTGAACAAAAATTTAACAGCACAATAAAATCCACGTCTTCATGTTCTGACACACAGCTGTTCCTGAACACAATTTTCTATTGAACACACCTAGAAGAAACAGGCTTTTACCTTTTCTCTGGAAGAACACGCCTTTCATTTGCAGTCTGTGCAATGACAACCAATTGTGTCCTTTAATGACCTGACAAATTCATTATCAATTCTATCTCAAAACAGATAAAACAGCAGTGTATTTGATTAGCAGCCTGACATGTATGAAGCAGTACATTAACAATCTTTATATAACCTAATAAGTTCATTAAAGCCAAATTTTAGTAACTGATCCAGTGTATGGAAAATAGAAATTTGGACTGTAAATGTATTTTGGGAGGGTGCTCAGTGGAAAATCTGCCATTTTGTGCACAAACATATATGCAATATAAAAAATAATTGCCATTTCATATAGAAAAAAAAATCTCATAGTTCATATTATTTTGTAATCATTTTGTTTCATACATTCATTGAAATTCAAAAGGCTATCCACCAATGATCCTGCATGAACACAAGAACATAAACACGGGTGATAGTAATTAACAGGTCAAGCACATAGGTTGAGAGCAACCAGACGATCTGAATTAGACAGATCCAACATAACTTTCAATCAATCAAATCCTTAATGGCACAAGGAATCGTGCAAACAAACGAAATGTACCATTGTTTATTATGCATGCTCTTTTGATAGCAATTTCTATAGTTTAACAAAAGGACACGCAACATACAATCACTCACTTAAAATGAGTGTCAGCAGCCTCAGACGCTCTGATTAGCATCATGACCGAACCGTGGACAAACAAGTACCCTCTTTAACCTGTGTGGCATCTGCCTTGATTAGATTGAAAAAAAAAATAAAATAAAAATACATCAAAAACCTGGATTGAAGTCTTTGTCCCTGTCTGCTTTACACTTACAAGGCGATCAGCATAGAGGTCGCTTGCAGTGAAGAACATATGCAAAGCAGGCAGTGAGCTAGGTGGAAGTTAATAAACAGTCAAATGTTTCACACTGCTGACAAACACCTTTCACTATTATATGACATGATATTTCTGTAACTTTGTAACTAAAGACATCACTTTATGGGCGAAAAGATGTACAAGCTAAATTTCACCTCAAAATAACAACAACAACAAAAATAAATTATATTTTATATCATAACATTATTTTTAATGTCAAGCAAGCAAATTTCCCCCAAAATTCTCATTATCGTAATATATCTAGGTGTTTTGCTTTCACTGTATTTTATTTAAATTAGCATATATTAAAAAGTACAAGCACTACCAGGATGCATAAATCATTTACAATTTAACAGATATAATTTTTTTGTGTTACAGTTATGAGAAATAAGAGATTATTATATATTCAAGATGAAAAGTGGGCAGAGAAAATGTGCATAACTGTCATTTAAATACTATCACAAAATGTAAAAAAAAAAAGTTTAGAGTCCAAAATAGGAATCATTTTTAAGGGAAAAATATGATTATTTATTCAGTTGATTTGGGAGTTTAATATGATCTGGAATGTTTTGACAGGTTTAATTAAATTCATCCTTCCACATGTCTCTGTGTTTGCCAGTGAAACATTTAAACTCTTAAAACAAGACAAGCCTAAATCTATTTGAATGCTAAACAGGAAACAACACAGGAACTACAGACTCAAGTAAATGTTCCTCTTCCATAATATTTGTGTCATGCTTCAGAGCTAAAACAGAACCTGACAAAACACTTCATCTCAAACCTCTTCCCAAAGCCCGGACTCACTGCTTTAGAACAGAGAGAAGAAAAAGAGCAACTTTGAGCTAAGCACAAAATAAATGTCCTTCTCTTGCTTTCCTAGAGAGTGTGAAAACAATCCAGGCCTTGATTTTTTTTTTTTCATATCGTGTTTCTATGGCTGGTTCTAAGTGCCTAAGACAACACACAAAACAGCACCATGATAAGGCTGGCAGGAGTTGGCAAGGCGTTTACAGAAACAAAAGGGCTGAGGGCTGGAATCAAAATAAACTGAATGACCTCTAGAGCCACAGGAGTAAGAAAAATCATTCAATAACACGGTTTCAAAATAGCAGTTTGGCAAGTTCCTGCAGGAAGGATTCCTCAAAAAGAGTTCATAGTTCAAAACTCGTCTGTTCCTATGGCAACAGGTGGAACAACTGGGCCATTCTGTCAATAAAAAGGCTTTGTGGTGATATTGCTTCTCTTCTCATCTGAAGACCAAAATAAAAGTCTTCACTGAGGTCAATGAAATAGTATTTTAAACTATGAATGATGTCACTTGAGAAACTGGTTCTTACATTGCTAGCAGCTACTATGAAAGTGTACTGAAAACCCAAACAAGACAATGTGCAAAATGCAGTCAAACTGCACAATCAGGGCACTTGGCATGTGTTGAACTGGCGTCTACAGACTCAGCAGGGGCGAATGTGACCGCACTGAGCCACGCAGACAGCTGTTTGGATGCTAACGCCCATCTCATTGTCCATCATCGCCAATTTGGGCGCCCCAATCCAAAGACGAAGAGGCCCTTCCAAAAGCTCATCGATTCACAGCAGGAACAAACAAACCCTTTCCTTGTTCTTAGACTAATGAGGGCTTGTTCTGGCTAGCTAGCTCGCTCGCTCTCTGCTGGATGGCACACTTGCATAACCCTGCACAAACGCATACATTTTGAAACACGGTTATGAGGAGTCTTGCGAGTCAGAGTCTTCTTGCTGAAAAAGAACTTTCCCAGACTTCATCCCCTGTCCTCTGCTTCGCTCCACGGACCCGTTGATCTCTCCCAGTGGCAAGTAGGAGTAGTCCGCCCTCTGCCCGCACACTTTGCATTTTCCGCACGTCTGGATAAGGTTACCGGCGAGGCTGGCCAGCAGCGACGTTGCCAGGATAGCGCAGACAACCAGCCAGCTTTGTCTGCACACATAAACAAAACACTTTCAGGGGGAGGAGCTGCACTTTGACCTCTGACTCCACCGCTGCTGCCCACAGCCTCCACAAAGCACTTGACTGCACAATCCCTTACTTGCATGTGAAAGGCCGAGCTGACTATTAAATTAATTGGCAGGAGTTGGCAAGGCGTTTACAGAAACAAAAGGGCTGAGGGCTGGAATCAAAATAAACTGAATGACCTCTAGAGCCACAGGAGTAAGAAAAATCATTCAATAACACGGTTTCAAAATAGCAGTTTGGCAAGTTCCTGCAGGAAGGATTCCTCAAAAAGAGTTCATAGTTCAAAACTCGTCTGTTCCTATGGCAACAGGTGGAACAACTGGGCCATTCTGTCAATAAAAAGGCTTTGTGGTGATATTGCTTCTCTTCTCATCTGAAGACCAAAATAAAAGTCTTCACTGAGGTCAATGAAATAGTATTTTAAACTATGAATGATGTCACTTGAGAAACTGGTTCTTACATTGCTAGCAGCTACTATGAAAGTGTACTGAAAACCCAAACAAGACAATGTGCAAAATGCAGTCAAACTGCACAATCAGGGCACTTGGCATGTGTTGAACTGGCGTCTACAGACTCAGCAGGGGCGAATGTGACCGCACTGAGCCACGCAGACAGCTGTTTGGATGCTAACGCCCATCTCATTGTCCATCATCGCCAATTTGGGCGCCCCAATCCAAAGACGAAGAGGCCCTTCCAAAAGCTCATCGATTCACAGCAGGAACAAACAAACCCTTTCCTTGTTCTTAGACTAATGAGGGCTTGTTCTGGCTAGCTAGCTCGCTCGCTCTCTGCTGGATGGCACACTTGCATAACCCTGCACAAACGCATACATTTTGAAACACGGTTATGAGGAGTCTTGCGAGTCAGAGTCTTCTTGCTGAAAAAGAACTTTCCCAGACTTCATCCCCTGTCCTCTGCTTCGCTCCACGGACCCGTTGATCTCTCCCAGTGGCAAGTAGGAGTAGTCCGCCCTCTGCCCGCACACTTTGCATTTTCCGCACGTCTGGATAAGGTTACCGGCGAGGCTGGCCAGCAGCGACGTTGCCAGGATAGCGCAGACAACCAGCCAGCTTTGTCTGCACACATAAACAAAACACTTTCAGGGGGAGGAGCTGCACTTTGACCTCTGACTCCACCGCTGCTGCCCACAGCCTCCACAAAGCACTTGACTGCACAATCCCTTACTTGCATGTGAAAGGCCGAGCTGACTATTAAATTAATCTGTGCCACTCTGCTGCTGCAGAGTTGTTTACCAGTACAGTCGGGTGAACTTGGTTCAGATTTGTCCGAAAGCTCGTTCTGCTAAACAAGGGCCTGGAATTTGTCAGAGTGAATTTCCATGGCAATAATCAAGTTACTCAAACACGCAGATAGGGAATGGTATAAATGACAAGTGGTTTGAGATAACGGATTTTTTTTCTCATGTTGTGGAAACTGTGGCTTTAAAGCATAGGAAAAACATGTCCTATAATTGTACCCAACATTTAGTTTTTAAAATGAGCAACATTTCCACTATGAAAATGAACCAGAGATGATCACTAGAATGTTCTATCAAAACCACCTGTCCTCAGTCCACAATTCAATATTTCACATAGATTAAAATATCTATATTAAAGTAGTATTATATATAAGTATATAAAACTATATTAAAATATATATTATTTCTTATTATATAATATATAATAACAATGTTATATATAATATTATTTTGATAAATATTTCAGTCTTTATAAAATACTGAGTTATGGTCTTAAAGTATATTTTCTGTGTCATATCATATCAGCTCCATTTCAGAAAATATAAAGAAATTATTCTGGATTTTTAGACACATTTTCTCATTTAGACTAGGACTGATTATCAACTAGAAACACCAGAAAAACAAAACAACTTCTGTATTTAATACATATTTGCTATGTAAAATTAGTTATATATTAATTCTATTTTTTAATTGTAATTGCATGCTACACTTGTAAATATTCATAATTATTTTACTTGAAAGTACACATGATTTTTGTATCTGACAGTACTGACACATAGTAAGTAATAAAGGTTGACAATTTTATGTTTTGTCTTATTTCTCAAGATGTGGTGAGAGGACACATGTTGGCTGCTGCTATGGTGTGTGTGTTTAGGGTTTTTTGGAGCACTTACTCAGATAAATAGGGTTTTGGAGCATGAGCTTCCTCCTCTTGTCTCCATTCCCTCCACATCTGGGTAGCCAGGCAGTGACCAGCTGAAAGGTTGTGGGAAAACACAATGTTTTTTTTTATCAAATCCCTTGTTAGGACAATAACCCTTCTTTACAGGCATATTTCTCCTTTCCCCCCTTTCCTAACTTCAGATGTAATTGTGGGAAACAGAAGCGCAAGTGCAACTGTTTTTTTGTTGGTAAATTAGTGTTGTGTCTATTACTGTCAATGAAATGACTTTTTATTTTGATGAACATCCAAATGTGGCTGTAGAGTAAAGTGGTCATCACATTGGTGAAAATTCAGAGAAAAAAATTTGCAGACCAAAAATGTAAATTGTCTATGGTCAATAGTGTAGTGATGTATAAAGCACAGCTCACACAGAAGTCAGTTTCAAAACAAGCAGCTTTATGTTGGTCAACCGCCAAATTTAAGTGACCAACTTGAATAGGTTTCAAAATCTGCGAGGGGAAATCTTTCGCACACACATGAGATCACATGGATTCCTATTGAAATGACTGGATTTTACCTGTGGAAATTTGCAGAAAGAGGCAAATGTGACCGCACCTTAACAATTCATAATGGACACTGATTTTTAATATATAATATTATTTAAGATATATCAAGAAAATATTAAGATCTATCAAATATCCTTTTTCTTTTTTCTCTTAAAGTTCAATTATAATATCAGTCAAGCTTTTTGCACAAGAACAATCAAAATGTAACTTTTACGACCGTTTGCAACATACTCTCTGAACCTTAAAATTAAATAGGTTTTCTGCACCCATTACTGTCTAATACAGGCCTAATACAGCTCGCACTGCCCTATTATTCAGTTACAGATTTTGGAAAGCCTATGTTAGATTGTGCAAGACTGCAAAGATCAGGAACCTTGCTAAAAAGAAAGAGTCCTTTTTGCAGTTCCAAATTCCAAAATTTGAATTTACATTTGGAGTTCAGAAAATTATAGAATGTTTTCAGAGTGCAACATTTTATAACGAAACCTCAAGGAAAGATCCAACTGGATATCAAATCTTTCACATAGAGCAAACAATGGAGAAGGCTTTCACCTAGAAGACAGAGAAAGAGAAGCAGAAAGCTGTTCACGTGCACAGCAGATGGGATCGTAATGAGCCTGTTCCTGAACTCCAGAGAACAGGGGTTTGGGGTTTATTATTTCTCTGCAGGGAAGTCGGAGAATGCATCTTCTTCTCACGTTAAATGACAGAGGTCAGAGAGTTGGGATAGAACGAGCTGACAAGGTTTTTTTCTGGTCTTGACACAAATAGCTTCTCTGTGGCAGAGATCATCAGTAACACGAGGGACTGCTGGGTAGACTGATTCTGCAAGGTCTCTTTTCTCAACACCCCCTCCGCAAACACCCGGCAGCTTTGTTTATCACAGATTGTTTGAGGATGTGTGTGTGCAAGTTTGAGTAGAGAAGTTGCAATCATTTGATAGTGAATGAACAAAGAGAGAGTTAATCAGCTCAAAGTTAAGTGGAAAAAGGCTGGTGAGAAATTGAGATCCGTTAAAGGGGTCATATGATGCGATTTCAAGTTTTCCTTTCTCTTTGGAGTGTTACAAGCTGATTGTGCAAAGATAAGATCCCTGAAGTTGCAAAGATTTAAGTCTCAAAACCAAAGAGATATTCTTTATCAAAGTTAAGACTCTGCCACGCCCCCCTAAAACGGCTCATTCTAACACGCCCCCACATATCTACCCCACTATGTGGAAATATTTGCATAATGCACCCAAATGTGCACTTGCGGTGTTCGGCCAATCACAATGCACTGGGTCAGCTGGCCAATCAGAGCAGACTGCTTGTCGGAAGGAGGGACTTTGTAGAAAATGAAGCGTTTGAGAGAGGCGGGGCATAGAGGACCTACAATAATGTACAGTATTTTAAAAATAATGTGTTTTTTGAACATTAAAGCATGTCAACATATTCTGTTACACCAAATAATGATCTTTAAAAAAAGCATCATATGACCCCTTTAAGGCTCGTATTTCAGGCAACTTGCGTGCCACGTTCTACAGTAGAGAACTGTGGACAGACACTAGCATACACACACATATAGAAGGACAATGAGGAATGCTGATGGCCGAAGCTATAAGCAGAGAGAGTTATGTGCTGAGAAAGTGTGAACATTAAACTGATCTATAGAGACGTCACACGGGGAATGTGTCGTTTACATGTCGTGTGAGTGCTAATAGGGGCTGTACCGCACCTCTGTGCAGGCTGATGTTTCTCTCTCCTTGGTATGTGGTGTTGCAGCTTCCTGTGACAGATTCACATGGGCACATGTCGTGGCATTGGCACGGCTGCTTGCAGTTCAGCCCGTAGAATCCAAGAGGGCATTCTGGGACGACAAAGAGAGCAGAGACACAGTTAAGATAATCTATTCTAAAGCAGCATTGCATGCATTACTCAAGGCAATTCTAGAAGGCATTGCAAGAAAGAAAGGTTGGTTAAAAATATGTTTCAAGTTCTGGAAACTTCACTTAATATTTGTGTGTGTATTAAGTATTTTTTGAGCTTATTTTAGTATGTGTTAAGTTTTGTGCTAATGTCAAACTGTTGGACTCAATGAAGAGCATTAGTCAAGTATTTGCTGACATTAAGTTCCTGCCAATGAACAGTGTTTCATATCAGACAAAGCATTACAGCAAAAGCAATTCAATTTACATTCAACTGACACTTTCATCCAAATTATTTTATTTTTCAATTTATTTTTCAATTTTTTTGTTTATTTATATATACACATACATACATGAGTGTATTTTCTCATCTTATTTTTTATTATCTGTGTGTTGTTTGTCTCTGTGTACTGGAAGCTTGTGACACTCTAAAACGAATTCCTTGTATGTGCAAACATACTTGGCAATAAAGCTCTGTCTGACTTCTGACTTAACTTACGCACATGTTTTATGACATAAGCTTAGGCGTCTCTTAAACATATATCTGGAAATATAATCACCCACATGTTAAATAGGTTTATCAAATGTGCATCTGTCAATATACCGAAAGCAGTTGAGATTAGACTGCATACCTCTCTCGCAGAAACCTCCATGGAAACCAGCAGGACAGGTGCACTGTCCGTGAACAGAATCACATGATCCTCCGTTTGTGCATGCACATGTTTGATTGCAGTCATCGCCATAGAAACCTGCTGCACATACTGCGAGGATACAGACAGATGTTATTCATTGTAGAAGTATAAGCATTTTGATTTAAAATATCTAAAATAACCACTGCTGACTTTAATAAACTCTTATGGAAGAGTAAATGACTAAATGTAAATGTAATGTAATGATCTCCCAAGTAAAGAGCCACTCAGATCTTTATTTGATAGTTTGATCATTTAGAATCTGTATGACAGGCAGCCAAGCTAATTTTGCCCTTACCTTGGCTACAGTTTAAACCCATCCATCCAGCATCGCACACACATCCATCTGTTCATAGAGAGGGATAAGAAAGGAAAAACAGAGAGAGAATTGTAGTTAATGGGTTATAAAAAAAAATAAATAAAAAAAAATAAAAACTTAAATACTACCTTAAATGCAAGATCATTTTCTTTGTTAAAAACATTCATTAACTACAAACAATCTGTACGTTTTTAGCAATAAATTTCATCTAGTGTAAAGGATGCAGTTTAAGCTACATGCCTTACAGTACAAATCAATGTCAAATGTCGGTAACACTTTATTTTACACTAGCCTTTATGCATAAATCATTAGAAAGGTATTCATCGTAATGCATTATATATTTACATAAATAACTGTAACCAAAGTTAAAATGCATTATAATATTTGCAGATTCCTTGTTACATCTGAAATAGATTGTTTGTCAATATCAAGTTATGTGGCTACATAGTCATGTATTTAGATAAGCAGACATAATGAATATGTTACGATGAATAATGCTTATTACAATTATTACAAGGATTAATGTGTTACATTTTCTCAAGGTGTAACAATGAATAGATGTGTCATGTATTATAACTGTGGTTAGAATTATTAATGAGATCATATAATGCATAATAGGGTGCATTACAATGCTCAATTAATGCATTAAAAAAAGCTTCAAGTAAAGTGTGACCATAATGTCCTTTTGTGATGTAAAGGAGTGTATGAGAGAGAGCGACTCACTCTCAGTGCAGATTCCATGCTCTCCACATTCAGTCTGGCATATGAGATTGGCACATCCTGGGCCGCTCCAGCCCTGCTGGCACACGCACTGGCCCTCCACGCAGCGCCCATGTCCACTGCAGTCCTCCGGCTGGCACAGCCTCTCATGAACACACAACACAGTGGAAACCGCCCGTGGGCAGCGCCACTTTGGAGTTTTGCTGGGATTTAGGTGAAAATGTTGTGATAAAATTGCCAAACTCAGCACACTGTTGTTTGCAAATGTGTAGTTTTGCATTTACACACCAGTGGTCTGAAGGGTAATTGGCCAGGGATCCGTTGAGGATATAAGTGGCCGAGCCGCCTCCATCCAGATTGATGGCGTTAATGACATTCTGTTCCTTCAAAAACTTTGCCACTTGCCAGAGGTTCATTCTGCAAAGATAGCAGTTTAGTAAACACGTGCAAAAATAAACTGAACTAAACTGTACCTGAAATTCTGGTATGCACTAGTACGTATTTGGATTTAGATGGCCCACTGTGGTTTACATAAAGGTTTTAAAACTAAGCTGAAACTTTTGAAAAGCAAGCTGCAAAAATAGGTTATTCAGAAATCAGATGTCACACAACTATGAGAACACAACTTAGCCAACCATAATAAAGGTACAGATAATTTATATATAAATCTTATGCATGTTTAATTTCATTTAAGGGAAACGTTGGTTTAATTAAGGGCCAGAGTGACAAGATTTTTCCCTTTCTTTTTAAATATTTTTCTAAAGTAAAACATTATTCTAATCTCATCTAGAAATCATTGAAATATGCTGATTTGGTGCCCAAGTATTCTTATTATTTATCAATGCTGAAAACAGTTGTGCTGCTTAAAATTTTTGTGGAATCCATGATAGATTTTTTTTTTCAGGATTTATTATTGAATAAAAGAACAACATTAATTTGAAACTAAAATCAATTCTTTACTGTCATTCAATTTAACAGATCTTCACTGCAAAAAGTGTAAAAAAATAAAATAAAATAAAAATAAAAACCTTTGAATTGTATTGTATATTATGACGTTTTGTTGCAAGAGACCTTGAGTAACATTACAAGTGAACTCAAAGAAACAAAAAAAGCTAATAAAGTCATGAATAGCTGACTGTTTGGAAAGGCAACAAAGTATAAATATTATCACAACCAAAGGCACATGAACCATGATTTGCTACTTACTTCTGCTAGCCAGATGCTATTTTAATGTTAGAGAAAGAGCATTTACTTTGCTACACTAAAAACTAACAGGCATGAACTAAAAGCCACAATTTTCCATCTTTAACACCAGGCTGGTCCAGAAGGTTTTTCCAATAATACCCGTATTGTATTTCACACTGGATAAAAGTGTTAAAAACTTAGTAAGTAGCAAAAAGCAAACATTTGATTTGATAACGATTACAGTGTCAGCAAAGCAACACATAAATAATCCCTTGCTAACTGGCTGACCATGTGGACTATTTTATACTCTATTGACTATAGGCTGTTTTGAATTCCTTAAAGCTCATCCAGGTGAATGTCAAAATATACTATATAAACACCTTATCTAACGTCAGAACATTCCGGTTAAAGGCCCTTAACGTCATAACGAATGACAGACCGAAACACTCTGGGTACATAGCGTTCCAAAGTACTGCCTATTATTAAGCGCACTGGCGCATTATGCAATATTGCCATGTTTTTGTAAAGTTTCTATTTTAGGAAACAGATGTTCTAGGGGCCCAGCATTCCCACGACTTACTTCCTCCAAATTCTGCACCCATATTTAGATTGAGGTTTGTTACAGCACCCTGCAGTGCAGGAAACCACTTAGACTTATGCTAACTGATAATGTGGCAGTGCACTCAAGTACACTCTACTAAATATCTTCTTTTGTGTTCCACAGACAAAAATAAATATCATATGGCTTCAAAGAAGATATTGAGAGAATTTTCATTTTTGGATGACCTATCCCTTTACGGGTGTGATACAGATATAAAAGCACAGCTTAATTATAGGCAGGTCAAAAGTACACCAGTACCCAACCAGGAAGGTCTAGCTCAATTTTCTATTGTTTCTTGAGTCTCCACAAAAAAAACAAACCATGTGGTTTTACAAAACATCACTCCAGCCAGGAGAAAGACTGTAGAGAATGAGACCTTTGGCTGTGTCCTTACCCAAACACTAGCGTCCCATCCTTTCGGATGCCAAACTGAGCATTTTGAATTCCTCCACTGTTCCTCACCAGTTTCCCATCACTTATGACATTCCCCAAACACTGCCCGTCTGCGATGTCAAAGAAGCCTCCATTCTGGGCGACGAGGCACTTTCTAGTTTTGGCAGTGAGCTCCACCAGTTCTCTGTGACTCCACTTGCACCCTGCAGGGCCTCTTGGTTCCAGAACGGACACGGATCTCAATGGGTCATGAACCTCTGTGACGTGGCCGCTCGCCCATCTGTGAACACCAGAGTCATCTGTGATGTCGGAGATGAATATATTTGACTCGAACACTGGAGAGTTCGAGTGTTTGCTTGCTGCCCAGGTTTCATGGGTCACATTGCCATGAGCGACGGGCTGACAGTCCCTCACATGACGGTGGGAATGAGATGGGCCGTGGGATTTGGAGTAGGGTAACAAGAGATCGTCATCCGAAGAATGTCTGTGGAAAATGAACATGATTATATCAGAGAAATAAAGAGCAAATTGGGTTTGTTAAGCTAGTTAGGTTAATTTGGAGCATGTGTAACTGATTCAGAGAAAATGAATCCCTAGAATTCTAGATCCTACATCTCAGCATGTAGATGTGGTTCATTGTTCTGTCAAGTAAGCACATTTTCATGTGTACATGTTTCTTTCAGAGACACCTGTTGTTTTGCATACTTCTCAATCTAAACCCAAGACAACATTATCTGAGAAAAAAGGAAAAATCAGTTGAGGAGCAGCAGATGTTTAATTGCGCAATCCTTATGCAAGTCTGGGTTCAGCATGCGGTTGCTGGAATCCTCTTACACTATGCAAATTCAATATGCAAATTAACTGTAGATTCAGTTGAGAGTGCGGCACTGTACTGTAAGCGCGTGTACACAAAAACTAATGAAAACTCCAGTTAAGACAATAATGCTTAAAAATAACTATTTACTATTCTGCAAATTTAGCTCAAAGTTTCTATATTAGGAGAATTGATTAAAAACAGACAGCAGGGGACACTGTTGTTAAAGTCTTAAATTTAGGTAACTTTAAAATAATGTTGATTGACAAAATATTAGTAACATTACATAATATATATATTTATATAAACTTTTACACATTAAACTTACAAATATTTATATTCTATTATATAATTAAAAAATATGAAGATCAAAAATGAAGGAAATGGTTTCTTATATTATTTATAGCATATTATTTCTGCATGTTGATGCAGTGTAGATTATTTTCCAGTCAGTTAGCTGTAGCGACTCCTGCGCCACAAGTGTCACCAAGAATATAATGACATAGTGAATTGCAAGAATGGGTTTCCGAACAAGCTTCCCGACTTTTTATTTTATCTATTTATTTTATTTTAGCGGTTTACAAACACTACGTCCGTCAAAGAGACAGGTAATATATAATATGTTACATAAGACATTTTATGAATTCCACTCTAAAAATGACAGCATCTTTAAGAGAAGCAACCATATATTTTTCTTCCTTGTGCAATAATTAGGCAACTAATGAGGAATGAAACTGAAACCTAATTATAAAGTCTTTTATAATAAAAAGCTAATTGCAAGCGATTTTCAAAATAAGTCAAAACTGCTAAATACATCAACTCAAGAAGAACAGGCCACAAAATTGTCATTCTAAATCTCCATCCCAACCAGGGGTTTGCAAACATTCAACTTCAAGAGTTTTGATCATCGTCTGCACTACATAATACACGTCCTTACCGGAGGTCTTGGCATTGGGACAAACATACTCCTAGGTATATAAGGATGAAATTCACGGACGATGTTGCCATAAGACATACGTCTGATACAATAAAATAAAACAAGTTACTGTCCCGTTTATATCCGTCTTCTTCGATGAAAGGACTTTCACGTGTGCTGGTCATATGATGCGAGTCACGTGATCAACTGATCTTATCTGTCATTCATTTTTTCGCTCGCTGTAAGCGCAAACAACTGTGCAAAAACATTTAATGTAAGTAAACTGCATTTGAATGAAAAACTATTACATTTTAAGTGCCATGAAAGTAATATGGTTCACTCCGAAACGAAACTTTATTCGATTTACTTTTGAGCGGAACGTACTATTAGAAGTGCTTGCTTACAGGGGAGTTGTAATATGACGCACACGCAAAAGGAGGTAACGTTACAGCTCAAGGAGACCCATGCATGAGGTTTGCAATGGCATCCAGTATAAACATAAAGAATGGACTTTTAACCACCAAAAATTCTCTCCACATAAAGATTCCCTATCCCACATTTAAACAGAGGCCAACAGAGATCAAATGCTCAAGAGCATTAACAACGGGACAGCACAATGAACAGTACTGTATTGATGTTGTAAGGTAAGTTATTATTAGTTTAAAATAGATTCACTTTTAGTAGTTTTATCGTGTATTATGTTTATCATGTATCCCAGAATACCTTTATTTTTCTCTGTCTTTATGTCAAATTGAATAAGAATATATGGCGTGACACTTTTTAAATAATAATGTAAAATGCAATATATACAAACATTAATTTTTGTATGCTTAAAGTTCATGGTTAAAATTGATGTCAATTGTTAAAATCAGTGCTAGAGATGTCTAGGTATTGTATCTGTCCAGACATTGAAAAAAGAGAAAACTTTTCATTAAAAATCTGAAATGTATAATGTATGTATATATATGTTCTGGGACTTTTTAAAATGAGGAAAGCAATTAATTTATGTCATTAGTGTATAAATTCAGTGTACAAGGAAATCATTTCAGTACTTTTTCAGTCTCTATTTAGGCTTAGTTTTGTAAATGTAGGTTATTGACACTACAGTTCACACTGAGTGAATAACACTGTACTGTCATCAATAGGAAGAGGGATTATGAGGGATTTTTGTGTTCATTGCTTTTTCCTGAGGCTGTTCGTCGATCTGCACTGGCACTGACGGCGTTCAATGTAGAACTGGCACAGGCAGGTATTCCAGCTATTGAGTGCAGCAAAACTCTTTTAGTCAGTTTGGTTTAAGCTAATTTACTTTTTGTACAGATATCAATGTGAATCATAGTTTGAAAACCAACTCTTGAGACATAAAAGTGCCTGAAACACTCATATATGCTCATATATTTGCTTCTTTTTTTTTTAGATTAAGGACTCTGTTTCTCAGAAAACCATTGGTTTAATGCGAATGCAGTTCTGGAAGAGCGCTGTAGAGGATATTTACAGAGATGACCATCCAGCCCAGCCCGTCAGTGCAGAACTGTGGAGGGTGGGTCTTCTTTCAATAAAAGAAAGATTCTGTCATAATTACATTAAAACTACCATTCAAAAGTTTGGAGTCATGAAGTTTTTTTTCAAGACTTTAATGCATTAAATGGCTCAAAATAGACATTACTAATGTTACAAAAGATTTTTAATAATGCTTCAAATTAATGCTGTTTTTTTAACTCTCTTTTTTATCAAAGATTTGTGGAAAAAAAACTGTATTTGTATTACTGTATCTTATGTCAAGTAAATGCAGTCTTGGTGAGCGCAAGAGACTTCTTTCAAAAACACTGAAAAAAAAAAAAACCTTGGCAATCCCCAATCTTGGCAACAATAGTGATGCCTTTGAACTTGTATGACTTTCTTTTTTTCTGTCTAACACATTTTTGAAAAATGTATCTATACAATGACAGTCAGTGTCCAATGTTGTTTGGATCAAAGCATTCTTCAAAATATTGGGCACTGATATACTATAACTGTTCTGTGTTCTCAGGCAGTGAGGAAGCACACATTAACAAGGAGGTGGATGTTAAGAATTATATCTGAAAGAGTAAGTAATTCGATTTGTCCTAATATATGAGGAAAAAAACATACTGTAAAGTTTTCTTTAAATAACTGTGACAGCTGTCCGAGAGACATGCATGGCTAATTCTAGACATGAATCTGTCATTCAGTGAGTCGGCATATTACGCACATTATACTGTCCTCTGGCAATTGTATTAAAAGCATTATGTTTTGAAAAGGAGAAAGATCTGGAGGACAAAGCGTACAGGAACCTTCAGGAGCTGGAGGACTATGGCGAAAACACACAATCCTCTCTTCTTTACCTGCTTCTGGAGACACTTGGTGAGCAGACCTTTCTTGATCTTGATCTTCAACTTAAAGCAATAGTTCTTTCAAAAATGAAAATTCTGTCATTTACACATCAGTATGACTTACTTTCCTCAGTGAAACACTGTAGATGTTCGGTGGAATATTAGGACCTGACAGCCTCAGTCACTATTTACTGTCATTGTAAAAGGAAAAAATTGCAGCAAAATGTCAGCCACCTGAAGGATAACTGAATTCATTGCTTCCATTTTGAAAGGAACTATTAAAATGATGTTATTATAGCTTAGTCTTATCATTTGTTGATTTGCACTGTGGGTTTGCTAGTATATTTCTAATGTACACTACCTTTCGAAATTTAAAGGTAAGAATTTTGATGTTTTTGAAAGGCTCACCAAGGCTGCATTTATTTTAATAAATCTACAGCAAAACAGTTATATTATGAATTATTGTTATAATTCAAAATAGCTGTTTTCTATTTTAATATATTTTAAAATGCTATTTATTTTTTCCATCATAATGGCAAAACTGAAGCAGCCAGTACTCCAGTCTTCAGTGTCACATGAAATCATTCTAATATGCTGACTCACTGCTCAAGAAACATTATTATCAATGTTAAAAATAGTTGTACTGCTTTTTTTTTTTTTTTTAAATGGGGTAAATTCTTTTTAGGATTCTTTAATGAATAGACAGTTCAAAAGAACAACATTTATTTGATTTAGAAATCTTTTGAAATATTCAATTATGTCTTTACTTGACTTAACTTTTGATCAATTTATTGCATTTTTGCTTAATAAAATTCTTCTTTTTAAAATTTTGACCCCAAACTTTTAAACTGTTGTGTAGTTTACTTTACCCCATCCTTCAAAAAGTCATAATCAGAAAAAAGTCCACTGGTAATATGCTGCAGAAACTAAACTAAGGCATTTTTGACTTCTGAAATTGTATTGTTTTAAAGGTGGGATATTAGATTTTTCATGATATGACTCATATTTGAGAACACTTTTTTTGATTAGCAAGACAGTATTGGAAATTCACTATTTTGCGCAAATCTGTTTAAAACTGGTCTCATAAAGTTGTATGCATTGTGGATCTTTTTTAACATAGGTGTGAAAAATGTCCATGCAGACCATGCCGCAAGCCACATTGGCAAAGCCCAGGGCATCCTGACCTGCCTTCGGGCAACTCCCTACAACAGCAGCAGACGCAAGGTCTACCTGCCCATGGACATCTGCATGCTGGTGGGTAAATCTGCTATCACCATGTCATCTCTGTTCCTGTCTAAAAAAACATTCTTTTCTAACATCAGAGGCACTAGTGAAGGATTAGAGACAATCCATGTGCCAGTCAGCATATATGTGGGTGAAGCGGTCCACTCCAGTGCCCTCTCGTCTGCTAAGCCCAAACCCATGGGCTTTGTTTCAGCCATCTGTCGCCATTTCAGCATGAACGAGCCATTAGAGTTGGGATTTAGAAGATCTTGCCCTTAGTGTAACAAAAGAAAATAATCTTTTATCTGTCGTTTATCCTCAACTAATCTCAGCTAGAGCCAGTGTACAGTATTAAGATCAAATTATGTTATGTATATTGTTTGCCGTGTGATTGCACATTCACCAAAAGGGGGCACTGTTGTTTCACTATAAACAACGTGGACATGTTTGGTTTCTGAGGTTATTAAATGCTCACTAAAACATAATGCATTTTAAATAAATACTTCTTTATTTGTAGGTTTTTAAATGTTTTGCTACTTCATAGGTAATTATTTGATTGTAGCATGAGGAAGTTCCTTAATAATTGTCTTTACTTATTGTTTTGAAACTTCCTTTCTTGAGGCAATAATGTACAGATAAGCTTTTAAACCTGTAATTGATGTCTTTAATAATGCATTGGATTATGTTGAATTAAAAGAGACAGCAAAACTTTGAAGGTTTCTCTACATTGCAGTTGTTTAGAGAATATTTGCTCTGGGAATTGTAAACAATATTAATGTGCAACCTGTCAAGATTAGCCAAATATGTTTGTAAAACAATGCAAGGTGAATGTGTGGGTGTTTCTTTGTTAGGTAGACTGTAAATACAAGCCTCTGGGTGTCTGCAAGCCATTTTTGTCAGTTTAAGGGCTCTGTTTGACATGAAACCCCAGTTCAAGAATCAGAACAGATCAATGATAGATATAGCCTCCCGCCAATTACACTGCCTGGTTATTCATGGTGTTGATTGCCTTGCCAATGCTTTATTTTGCCATACAGCTTTTGTTTGAGGAACAATTGGCTTTTTTTTTTTTTTTTTTAAGATTTATTTTTGGCTTTTACGGAAAGATATCGATTCTTAAATCCCAAGAATCGATTAGTCTTGTGTTTATTGATCACTTGCTATCGTGGATTTATTCGTGTTTGTTCAGATCACAGTTGAGGCAGTGCGATCACAGGGGGCACTTGAGTGATTGTTTAAGTCATGGTTTGAATCAGTAGTTTCTCACATATAACTAAGTGCAATTTCAGTAAATATTTCTTCTGAAGAAGTCTTGGGATGCCGAGTCGTAAACACATCACCTCATGTTCTGCATACAGATTGTCACATTTTCATCCAGCATACTAATTTCTTCTGCTGTTCAAGTATTTTTGTTGAATGCTGGAAAATCTATAAAGATGAATCTCATGAAAACTCAAGAAATTCCTGAGTCGTATTTCACCCCAAAACCCAAAGACATTTTTTTGTGAAACTGTGAATTTATATTATTATATATAAGACCATGACAGTATTGTGCCATTATTTTCGTGAATCTAGCACATCCTCCCCTACAGTAAAGTGAAAATTTATGTACTGATATTAATGAAAAATAATAAAAAATAAAAACATTTCATAGAAATAAAAGAGAATATATAATTATAATATATCCAATAATGATAATATAATTGCTAATTAAATAATAATGATTTTTATTACTGATGAATGGGTGTTTTGTATTACAGTATTAAGAATTTAGGAGAAATTACGAGGAAATGTTCTTAATAGTATTGAAAATATGACTCTATATATGGAGTTTTTGGGGTAAAATACAGGTGTATTGTTGTGATGGTGCCTGAAATATGGAGGGATGAAGAAAAGATTGTGGTATCAAGCTCATTTTTCTATCTATCAGGAGAGGGTTACTGATAATGCATTTTCACTGTTTCTCACCCAGCATGGAGCATCTCAAGAGGACTTCATCCGTGGCAGCAGGGACCAAAACGTCAGGGACGTCATTTATGACATTGCCAGCCAAGCCCATGTCCATCTCCAGCACGTATGCAAAGCCCTTTACTTTAATATCTGTGGTCAGATGGGAGATGCTGACTGTGTTGTATGTTCCCCAGTAATTTTCAATTTGCATACTAACTTCATTAGATTTCACAAGCGATATTACCCCTCCTCCACCAGCAGCTCTGATGACCCTTGATTGTTGCCCTCTCCTCATTACTGAATTTATTAAAAGTCCAGTGTAACCACAGGGAATATCTCGAGGAAATGCTAATCAGAGAATTTGTCAGATATTGCTCACCCCACTTTGCATATCTGGTCAGGTAGTATGAATCAAGGTTGGCACCAAATGACCTTGGTGAGGACCACATTTATATCACAAACAAGGGCCAAAGAAATTTTATACTTTTAATCTAACTTTTGCTGAAACTGTGTGGGTTCAAATTTTGTGTGAGTCATGAAAACATGTCTGAGTCACATTTCACCTCTTCAGAATACCATCTTTTTGATTTTCGTGATAGTTAAGTATGTTTCCCCCATAATACTGAAATGCATTCAGATGTTTAACTGTTTTTTTGCGATTCCTATTATTCTCTGTGGTGATTCTCATTACTATACTACAGTAAAAACAAATTCTGTATTAATAAAATGAAAACATAATGAGAAAGTACTGTAAAATACTGTAGTATTTCAGTAATTCTTACAAAATAATAGAACATTTATCCACATTCAGATCAGAAAAAGTACAGCATATACTACCATTGGGAGTGATTATGGACCTGTCATGAAAATAAGTCATAGTGCAAAAAATGCTACATTTTCAAAGAAAAATATGACTTAAAAAATGTATTTATTTAATTTTTTTATATTGGTGGTGAAATATGATCAGGTTTGTTTGACCTAATTTGATTCACCTAGTAAGGTTTTTGTGATGTACAGTACTATACAGCTCAGCTGTGAGAATTTGATATCTTGTTTTTGATATCTTGACTCGTTACTACACTACGTCTTCCAGGCTAGATCATTCAGCGAGAACGTTCCACAAGCGGCCATGCCTGCCTTCCTGCAAACGGTGAGTAATTTCATCTCTTTCAGCTCCTCTCCCCTCCCTACGCCTCACTAATGTGATGTGACACAGAGAAGCTCATGGCTTATCCTCATTCTGCCTCCAAAAGAGGCGGAGCCCCATCGAGCCACATGACTCCTGCCCCCTAGAGGCACCACTACCAGCTCATGGTCTGATTACACATCTTAAGCCTTTTTTACTCTTTTACAGTCATTTCTCTTAAAGGGAGCCCGCCTCGGAGGAGCGGAGGGAATAACTCTTAGCGTATTACGAGGCAAAGCATAGGGAGGCAGGCTGTAATTTTCAGTCCAATTTCAGCCTATTTGCCGACTCTTCAGTGCTTCAATTGCTTCGGCCAATGAAATGCTTTCAGTGAACTAAATGGCCTGTAAAGCATTTTTATATCACTTTATATTACTTTAATGTTCTGCTCTTACTTTCCATTTCCACATCCCTTTGTTTAACTGTCAGTCGCATTCTTTAAAGCCATCGTTTCCTTGCAGGCCATTTAGTAACACATTGCGCTCCACTTGCTTTGGCTGGTGTTAATCGTAACTGTGTTATCACGAAAGGACTTTACTGTAAGGTTTGGCATTTGAAGATTGTATTTTGTATTTGGGTTCATTTACAGTAGCAGGAAAAAGTATGTGAACACTTAGGTATTCTTCTTGTGAATTGTGAACTTGTGTTTATATTATTTTTATTGAGCTCGTCAGTCAGTAACCTAGGGATTCACATGCGAATCTTTGTGGTAATTTTTTTTTTTTTTTTTTTTTAAAGAAATGTAATGCTTTTATTCAGCATTTTAGCAAGGAACATTAAAATGACAAAAAAAATGCTGTCCTTTTGAACTTTCTATTTATTTGAGAATCCTGGAAAAATATTATTTCAACAAAAATATTAAGCAGCTTAACTGTTTGCAACATTAATAATAATAAGACATGTTTCAATATCACCAAATACCAAATATCATATTAGAATGATTTCTGAAGGATCATGTGACACTGAAGACTGGAGTAATGGCTGAAAATTCAGCTTGTCATCACAGGAATAAATTATATTTTAATATATATTAAAATAGAATATGGTTATTTTGATTTGTAATAATATTTTACTAATATTTCACTACTGTTTTACTGTATTACAGCTTTAGTTCGCATAAGAGACTCAAAAACATTTTAAAAAAATCTTACCTGACCCCAAATTTTTTGAACAGTTGTGTATGTTCAATGAAGACAAGAAAAAAAAGTTATCGGAGTAAATAAATTGTGTATTGTTATGACTTTTTATTTATTGCATACTTTTTCCTGCAGCTGTATCTCAACCCCACAATATCAAGAAGATCATTTAAATTCTTTGTTGACCAGCTGTATCATTTTTGCCTTTGGTTCTTTTTCTTCATACTTTTGCATTCTTTCAATAATGTATTATCCTCCAGGCTTGCACAAAAGTAATTAAATGAATAGTTTCTGATCTTCTTTGTGTTCGGTCCCTCAGGTTGTTTTGGAGGACTACCTTCAGAGAGTGAGAAAAGCAGACTTTGATGTGTTTCACCCCAGCCTACAAAAGAGGAATCCAGTGCTGCCCCTTCAGCTCTATTTACGATCATGGAGGAAGATCTATTAATTTGTTTGATTAAATCATCATCTGATTGTTGACAGATGAGTCAAACAAACCAAGCAGTTGTAATAAATTATCTAGCTTCTATATGTTCAGAATGTTAAAGTATTGCTGTCATTCCTGTCTTTTTCATGGCCGAAGTGTTCGATAACTCAATTTCCAAGCTTCACAGAAAATAACCACAATCAAAACAGTCCATTAAATTAAATTAAAATGTGTCTGAACTCAACAACAAATATCTCTAAACATATTTTGAGAGATAGTACAAGCTGTCAAACTGTTCTGAATTTGTTAAAGTATCTGCATAGTGTTGGTGGCATGAATCGAAGCAAATATTTTCCCAACTTGGTCTGTGGAACACGTTTCATAATAAATTCAATTATTTAAGACATTTGCGAACAAATTAGCAACAATTGAACATATTTTATAGGTGAGGAATGTGTCTCATGCCCTTTCTGATAGGCAAGGTCAATCAATTGTTTTTCACGCTGCAAGTGTGATGCAAGGTGGCATATTTTAGTGGCACAATCATGAGTTTATTTAGTCATCAAAAATACAGTCCTTCCACTGCCACAAAAGCTCTTATCTGATCGACAAGAAAACAACTCCTGGCTGTTTGTGACTGCTCTTGAACTGCAGAGAATATTTGGCTGGGAGCGAGGTCCTCTGCGTTGCTTTGCTCAACTCATTCAGTCGCTTTGATAAAGGACAGAGATCTTGCAGAATCTGTGAAAATGTGAATAATTTTAACAAAATAAGAGAGATCATACAAAATGCATGCTATTTTTTATTTAGTACTGTCCTCAGTAAGATATTTTACATAAAAGATTTTTACATATAGTCCACAAGACAAAAAAATAGCTGAAATTATTAAAATTACCCCCTTCAAAAGTTTGGGAACCCTTGGTTCTTAATACTATGTGTGGTTACCTGGATGATCCACAACTGTTTTTTTTGGGAGGGGGGGGGGTTTGGTGTTCATGAGTCCCTTGTCTGTCCGGCTGAACAGTTAAACTGAGCACTGTTCTTCAGAAAAATCCTCCATGTCCTGCAGATTCTTCAGTTTTCCAGCATCTTTTGCATATTTGAACCCTTTCCAGCAGTGACTGTATGACTTTGAGGTCCATCTTTTCACACTGAGGACAATTGAGGGACTCGAACACAACTATTAAAAAAGGTTCAAACATTCACTGATGCTCCAGAAGGAAACACGATGAAGATGCCCACATTTTTCTTATTTTGTTAAAATATCATTTTTTTCCATTTAGTACTGCCCTTCAGAAGCAACAGAAGATACTTGCATGTTTCTCAGAAGACAAATTAAGTACAATTTACCTTGATCTTAAAATACAAAAAGTTTGTCATGTAAATTTAATGGATGCACAGAAAAAGTAACGTAACTAGTAATGTAACTAATTACTTTTGAAATAAAGTAATCAGAAAAGTAACTTGATTACTTTTAAAAGGAGTAATCAGTAATTTAATTACATTTTCAGAGTAGCTTGCCCAACATTGTCCCTCAATTGTCCTCAGTGTGAAAAGATGGATCTCAAAATCATACAGTCACTGCTGGAAAGGGTTCAAATATGCAAAAGATGCTGAAAAACGGAAGAATCTCCAGGACCTGGAGGATTTTTCTGAAGAACAGTGCTCTCAGTTTAACTGTTCTGGACAAACAAGGGACTCATGAACAACCATCACAAAAAACAAAAAAATAGTCGTGGACCATCCAGGTAACCACACACAGTATTAAGAACCAAGGGTTCACAAACTTTTGAAGGGGGTTATTTTAATAATTTCCGGGTTTTTTTATCTTGTGGACTATATGTAAACATCTTTTATGTAAAATATCTTACTCAGGACAGTAAATAAAAAATAACATGCATTTTGTATGATCTCTCCTATTTTGTTAAAATTATTCATAGATTCTGCAAGGGGTTCCCAAACTTTCGCATGCCACTGTATATATGTATATGTAAGCGTTGTTGTTTTTTTTCAGTAATATGTGTATTCATAGCTCAATATATGTGCTTACTGACTAGCTAAAGTAGCTTGGCCAGGCTGAGAGACCAGCTTAGACTGGTTTAGGATGCTTTTTTAAAAGGGTCATTTAAGTTATTTTAAACAAGTTTGCGTTTCCAGATGAGTTTAGTTTCAGAAATAACACATATGTGACAAGACTATTAAAATTCTCTCCTTAATTAAACATAGGGACTAGAAAAGCTTTTCAATTGCACTTATATAAACATAATTAGACAATATGCATATATAATATGCATTATAGCATTCATCTGGTAAAATGTATAAATGATTAATGAGCTCCTATAGGGTTCAAATGATTTGGTTTAAAGCACATACTTTTAAGAATATGAATCTCCACATATTGTAAAACACACAAAAAAATTTATCTGGAGCTTGTTAGTCTACTTCTCAAAGATAATAAGCACAATTAAAGCTAATTTCTGTTCCCAAATCTTATCTAGTCAGTTGTGGGGGTCAGTGATTAAGTTCTGCCCTTTTGAATGGAGGTGCTGAAATGAAAGGAGACAAATTACAAGTAATTATCATGGAAAAACTTGCAAATAATTGCCTCCTTCACTGAGATATGTCAAGGTCATACCAAATCTTTTTTTATTATTCAAAGTGAGCCGAGACGTTCTGACCCTGACATGTACTTTTACGGGTTGGAGTTCTGCTCTTCTTTATGGCCAATTTAGGGATCTCATCCAATGCTTTATAGCATTATGTACTGTTTTTTCCACGTTTAGATGTTAAGCATCACATTTTTATGGAAGCCTGTTTTCACTACACAATAAAAAATATAAATGTTCAATTCTGAGAAATGTTTCGAGATATAAACTCTGAGAAGAAATTCTGAGAAGAAAAATCAGAATTGAGATATAAACTCACAATTGCAAGAAAAAAGTCAGAATTCTCATGTTATATTTTGTAATTCTGAAACTCTGAACTGTGATATATAAACTCAGCATTATATGAAAAACAAAAGTCTTGATTGTGAGATAAAAATTCATGATTATTTTTATTAATTTTTTTATTCTGTGGCATAAATGGCCTTCCATATTTCCCTCTCAGGGTGAATTAGGAGAGGATGGAGAGGTTGTTTTCAGAAAGTTAGAACAGGTTTACCTTTCATTTGTTTAGGTTCTTCTTTCTGGCCAGTGGAGATGTTATGCATTTTGAAAACAGTTTCTAATTGCTGCACTGCACCTCTAAAATGGAACTGACAGCTTCTGTTGGCCCATCACGATCCTCGTATTCACATTCAAATCTTGAGATTAACTGCCTCGGTTGCCAAGGTGAATTGCTTTTCATTTCTTCACCCGAAGCAAATACCATGTCTATTATTTATGAAGTGACAACTACAATTCATCAAATTAGAAGATAATTGGCAACAAATGAAACACCTGTCATTACAAAACATGTCCAAATTACTAAATACCCATCCATACCTGGTTTACCGCTGATTGCCTGTATGATCTCTCTTCAAACTGTTTGTGATCTCAGTGTTTCATTCAGACCAATATAATTGGATGAAATTCCATTTATCCCTTTGAAATATTGGCTACAAGTGAACACCACACTCTTTGGATGAACGGAAACACATTTCTTTGTCCTCTGATTTACTTCATTGTTGGTCTTCAAGAACAACAGTGCATGGGGTTAGAAGCAATTTTGATTGTGTGAACAGTTTTTGGCTCAGTCTTTCTGCTCTGAAAAACCACACAAACATGAAAAGAACAAATTATAATTAGCATCTAAGTTCTCGTTGGCCGTTTGAATACTATAGAATTATATAGCACAGTGGACAAAGATTTGAGTTGCAATAGCACCAGGTCTGCTAAAACCTCTCATCAATAATTTCTGAAGAAACTTAAGACAGGGAATCTGAAAAGCCTGAAGTGTTTTCCCACAGGTTTTCATCTGCATACTTTGAAAAAAGTCTTCTGAAGTCATATGTGTGAGGAAATTAAGGAAAACAGAAGAATCATGTAAATAAAGTTTGAATTTTGGATGAACTGTTTCTTTAAGAAATTAATTGTAAGTCTGTACGAAGTTTAAATGCACTACAAAGATCTCCTACCCATACTTAAAACTACATTTTTTTTTTTTTCCATTTTTAATGCTTTAAGTAATTATGCAGCACACAAGAGCCTGACATTTCTTCATGACAGTACGATTATGAACTCTCTGAGCCTATCTACATTATTACCAGCCTGAATCAGCACTGAATATCATCACTTTAGGTCTTTTATTCTTTCAGACACTATTATAATGTTAGATCACTGGCATATGAAGTCATGCAATGCATTTCCTCCTTTGCATCTCTGCCATGTATAATGAGGGGTATTGTGTCTCTTACCAACTGTTCTGACATTTGGCTGCCATTTCTCATTTTCGCATGGATTCCACCGAAGTGATATATTTAGGGTAATTTTCTTTAAGCACAGACAGACCTGTAAAAACGGCATACTGATTGCCAAATAGAGCAGTTATGGAATCTGACGTGGAGTAAAATAACTGCCTAAAATGTTGCTGGATTTGGTCATTGCTCATTTTACAACACACAATACATGTATAACTATATCTCCCAATGTTTCCTAAGGTTTTAATTGATACATTTTAAGGAATTTAACTGTCACAAATTAAACCAATTCATCATATGTGACTTTCACATGTTCCATGCAAGCAAACAACCACCAGCAAAGGCAAATTAGAGTAATGCGACCTTCCTCCTTGTATGATGTGCCAGTTTTATGGAGGCAATTCCGGGTCATATTTTTATGGATGCCAGACACGCATCCTTCATTATGACCTCATAAACGTCAGTTTAAATTGGCTTGTTTTGCAGGGCATAAATGGACAAACAAGAACTCTGGATTAATGAAAACCACTTTGTCCAAACACTTCTAGAAATGTAGCATTTCATCAACTCTATTAGGATAAAACATGGGTTGACTAAGATAAAATATAGTGTTACAGTACCAGCACTAAATTCAATTACATTTATGGCACAGAATAGTGTATTTGAGATATTCTATGATCTCAAAGTGAGGTGAACATACATACACATATGTCCTGTCCTCCTGCACATACACGTGACATGGCGCACTCACCAGAAGGTTTCTCTCTGTTACAACATGTGTAGTGAAAAAAAAAATGAAACACATTGTTTACCAGAGGCCCTATGAGTAAGACAGCTGCCATATTTTGTTGTGATATATAACAATCTTGGTATTGCTCCACTGAAATGACATTGAAATAAATCAAAAAAATGCTAAAGCCAGGCCATCTGCCCTCCTTCCAAGGTCTTATGGGAATTGGACAGCCCCTGGGTTCAAAACTGGACCCTCCAGGCTTGTCACATCTATAAGGGGACGAATGATTGGAGATTCACCAGACAGTAATCTCTGAAACAAGATTAAAGACGGTTTAGCAAAATTCTGATTTAAGATTAACATGGCTAACATTAGCGTACTCTGCTGGATCTTCAGATGCATCATGTAGTCGCATCACATCTGTGTGAGAGTATTTGCACGAAGAGGGATAAAAGGGTAAGTTGTCCATTTGAGCCGTTAAGGCACATGTAAAGCACTGAGATTGAGCTGTTCGATATATTGCATAATTTTGATAAAATATGTATAGCATAGTTAGAGGGATTGTCCACCCAAAAATGAAAATTACCACTCTCAATCTCGTCTTACTTTCTTCTGTGGAACAT